AAGGCGCAGAGGCAAGTAAAGGGTCAAAAGATTCATGGACCTTGAAAGGGTTATTGTTGGTGAATGGACAAGCCAAAGGAGACAAACGAGACGAGGATGATGGGATTGAATGCACATTACTGGCTTTACTTCTCTCACTCATCATTCTCCACAAAAGGAACCAAAACCTGTTCCAATTTTCAACATTTATAGACACAAAACAGAACCTAAGTCATATGCCAATAATAAGTTGGCATAATAATCCTATTCCTGGTCTTATAACATAATTTTGAAAAACATTAATGGGTGAACTATTTCATATTTCATACCTTGGAAACTAAAGTTTGAAGCTGAAAGATTTCTTCTTCTTCTTCTTCTTCTTAAATTGTTAGGTTTTTCACCGCAGACATGGGAAGAACAGTGGGAGGCTCTTCATCTTCCATACGACTTTTATTTGAACACAGCTTCTTTAATAAGTCATTGACCAATTATACACTAACACGTAGGGTCATCCCTCGCTCTTTTTCTTATTTCTGATTTTACCCCCTTAACTTTCCCCTTTTTTCCTTTTTAAATCTATAATTTAATTTTGTACCCATTTTATCTTACTACCAATGCATAGAATAATAATTACTTTTAAACTACAAAAATGGCGTTTAATTAATTTCTCAAAAGAGAAATAAATATTGTGATTTTATGTAAATAGGAAGAGATGGGGGATTCAAATGTAATTAACACCAAAAAATGGGGCATATTGCATTTTCCAGTAGATAATAGAATAATTGTTGGCTTTCTTGGAAACTGGAAACGTGAAAGAACCACTGAACCAAACAATAAAAGGAGGGAGAAAGAAAGAAAGAATCGCGCAGATCAAATTATCAATTATCAAATCAATTTTTATTTAAAATTATTTAATACTCTGTGTCTTAATATTTTTTGTTATAAAACTTCATTATTACAGTGTCCTCTAGCCATTATAGTTTTTTTAATTGTTTTTTTGTAGTGTAATGCATGAATATTATTAAATTAATTAATTATATTTTGGAGGGATTAAAAAATTTCAATTATTGGTATAAGATAATTTATACTGATATATTTATACGAATAGACGTATCACCTAACAAAGTGCACATGAAACATGCCTTTGACACTTGTAACTTTGTAACAACTTTGATTGATATGGAATAATATTAGGAGCGTGTTTGACTTTTGGAATGTAAAATTGTTTTTAAAAATAAGATTTTTAGAATATAATATTACTTATAGTCTCTGTTTTGAAAATCGGATCGGATCGGTCGGTTCAACCGGTTTAATCGGAAATCGTTGCTTAGTCCGGTTCAATCTAAACCGGTTGAATCGTTATTAGTGAACCGATCAGAACTGCTGAACCGTTCGAACCGGACCGGCTGAAAACCAGAAAAAACCGGGATTTTTGTTTTTTAAAAAAAAAATTAAACCAAATAACATCGTTTGTTAAACGAGCCAAGTCGAACTCGAGTATTGCTGAGCTCGACTCGAACTTGAAAACTTTAAAAGTAAGCTCAACTCAACTCAAACTCACAAGCTAAAAGTTTTCAAGTTCAACTCAAACTCGAAATATAATATTGAAACTTAAACTCAAAAAGGTTTGAACTCAAAAAAAATTAGAAGATCGCTTGAAACCTAAAATTCGAGCTTGATTGAAGTGAAAGAATAGTTCACTCAATGCTCACCAAAAGGCTCCATGATTTTGAATGTCAAATTACCTCTATTATTTATAGAAGTTAGTTGTGATGCGCTTCTATGTTTCTTAGCAATGTGAGATTGTTTTGTTCTCATATTTTTACTCTTTAGACTTTTGGGATGCTCTTCTATGTTTCTTAGCCATGTGAGATTGTTTTAAAAAAAAAAATTAAACCAAACAATATCATTTTGTTATGATTTTTTTAACCCCAAATTTATTTTTTAATTATAGTTATATAATTACATTTATTATTTAATATGTTTTACCTTAAATATTATGTTGTAGTTAATTTGAATCATTTTGTTTCACTTGATTTTATGGTTTTTAACTTATATATGTTATGACTTGCTTTGAATATGACTTGTGATATAAAAAATTATTTTTTTATTAAATATTTTTGGTATTTTTATTTAATTTTTTAAATAATTATGACGTCGTCCGGTTCTTCCGACCGGTCGGACCAGTTCGACCGGTTGAACCAGTAAACCGATAGCATGACCGATTCGCTAACCGGTCCGGTTCTGAAAACCATGCTTATAGTATTACTGGAGTATTTTATTATATTATTTGATTTATTTGACAAGAATATGAGATAATAATATTTAATTAATGGAATATAAGATTACTTTAATATATATTTTAATGTATATGGAAAACATATAAGCATACATAACTATGCTGCGACGACTCGTAATAACGTTCAAAACACACACTCTTAAGCGATACTTATGTTGTAAAGATAGATATTAGTAATATAATAATTATATCCTCTTGTGCCTTTTATTTCTTCTTGTTTTCTTGTGAGCGAGAGCAGACTAAATTAATATTATTTTTAAGACTATGATAAATTATTTTAAATAAATGTATTTGTTTTATAATTTATGTTGAAATTTGTACTCTTGATTTTCATTTATCTACATTTATAGTGAATTTATATTTTTCTTATATATAAAGATAAATAAAACCAAACCACACTTTTATCTCTTATATGTATTTTATTTAATTTTAATCTCGTTTTTTATTTACTCTTTGCTTTAACCGGAAAACTGTCGAATGATCACAAATGCCTTAATGAACCAGACTCGGATATACACCAATTGAGTATACTCACTACAATATGAACATCGAATAACTTATCTTTTTAATTTGCAAATAATATTTTACAGGCATGATCATCGCGGTGAATGGATGTGGTATTGATTTATTACTATTAGTTTTGTTTTACATGAGAGAGCAGGCATTGACATTGTCATCGTTGAACAAGTTACTGACCTTGTCGTCTCCACGAATAGTAACAGGAATGTTACCATGCCTGTGTCCGAGGTTGTATCCATGCCGGTAATAGTTGTAACTCTCTCTGTACTCGTTGGTCGTCTTTGAAATACTCGGCGGTGGTGGTGAAGTACAGAGGAGGGTTAGGATAAGGCCAGAATTCTGCCCTCTTCCCCGCCCTCCTCACTCGTTTCAGCACCTTGTTCCGATCGATGTACCCGATCACCGTCACCTTCTCCATTTCTGTGTCCACTTCCACTGAATCGACCCCTAGCATGCATTAATGTTCTCAACCATTAACAATGATCCTATGGAACAATGATGGTCATCGGATATAAGAATTAATCAGTATACCTCTAAGCTTGTAAATCGCGTTTTTTACTACTCTCTCGCAACCGTTGCAGCACATCCTGACTTTGAGGTCCACAGTCAGTAAAATCAAGCAAAGATTATGAGCTTAACAGTGGTGATGGTACAATTTAAGCTGTCACAATCGTAAGCAGTTCATTCTTTCTAATTGTAATTGGTGATTTTAGAGAGAGTGACGAGTTGAGGATGATGAGTGGAATGTAGCTTCGAGAGAGAATTTCTCCTCTGTTTTGCATGAGAGGTTTATATAATGCCAGATTTAGAGTAATGATGACAGTTTATAAATTGATAGGACGAACATATATGATCGATTGACAGTGAATTCGACTATAACAGAAACAATAATGAATGGATTAATTAAGCTTTAATCAAGGCAAAGGGACGAAGGCAAACCTGCAGTGAAAGTGGTCGCCCCTTGGCCTTATGCATCCTGTGGTAATGGACGTAGCTGACGTTCTTTTTGTTGTTGTCTCGATAACCAAAAAAACAGTAAGCGATGGTAGATACGATAGAACCAAATGCTTTCGTTATTATTTTCGCCTTTAGAGACAAGTCCGTCAAGTTTATAAAGAGAAGAAAAAGGAAGAAAAAAACTGAAGAAAGACGAAGACGAAGACAAACCCAACCGTTTTCCAGCTCTAGAAGATATTCCCTCTATTACATATGTATGAAGAATTTATAAAACGAAGTACCCTTTTGGAGGGAATGGTATGAAGTGTGATGTTAATGCTTGAAACGTGGGTCAAGCCAATATGATTATTGCTGACACACCCGGATTGGTTTTGGGATAAATTAGTAGGGAAAGCCAGGTTTTGATGCAAAGTGAACATATATACCTACAATCTTGTCTTTCCCACCATCTAGAAAGCTTAATTGGCAGAGTTTAATTCCCTTACAAGTTATATATGTTTTTACATTTTTCATGCAATCCTAGGGAAAATGTACCCTTTGCACTTTGTATTATGGAAAATGTCACCTTCTAGGATTAAAATTCTGAAATTTTATTTGTTTTTCTTCTAGCAATTATAGCCGATAAATGGATAAAAGATGATGTTAACAATTGATTGGTATAATAGGATGAGATATTAGATTCTTTAAGTAAAATTAAAAGTTCTTAACATTGTTAATGGAACAAACTGAATTGAGAAAGTTAATCTCAAAATGAATATTATATAATACCCGATTTGAATTAGTCAATTAATTAAATATCAATAGTTATACAGACGTTAACTACGGTTTGCAAGGGGACATGTACCAAATTATCAGATAAAAGTAGGGCTACCTTAGGTGTAATCATATCAATAGTTTGTGCTACTCCGAGCCTACTGGCTACTTGCAATACACTATGCGCCAATGTAGTTTATCCTGGACAACTTTTGACCACTAAACTGTTCACAGAACTCGATGTTTTCTTTTGTATATTTCTACGAGTTGGTGACAATTAGGTGATTATGATTGGGAGCATAATCTGCTTAAAAGAAAATATAACTTTCCCCGCCATTAATCAATCAAAAAGCTTATAAGGATTTCAACTAAGATTATCAGCACTGGAATATATTATCAACCAAATCATCTACACTAAAATTTTGAAAATGTCAAGGTAAAGATCGTTGGTAACAGAATATTCTCTTCCCTACCTATTACACATTAAGACAACTCTCTAAGCCAGTGGTAAAATTTAAGGCCATATCATACAAAGTACATTCCCCTATTCTTCATACAATATACTCTACACATAGGGCACAATTAACATAACCTGATCGTATTTCCTACAAGATTCAACAGGAAAGCGATCTACTTACCTACCTACCTACAGCCTGTTTCAACATCATCAAGAAGTCAAGATCAAAGTTATCCCCATATCCCCACGACAAGTGCAAACAAGACTGTGAAGATGAAAACGCTGAAAACACGAGTTAAAGGGAAGCTTGAGTAAGGAAGAGCAGTAACTGCCTTTAAATGCACCGATGGGCCCTTTTGGCTGCCACCGTTCTGCTTCACCCTCTGCCTTTGCAGTGTAAAAGATTCATCAGCAATATCCCTGCTGCCATCAAACTTGAGCGACTTGTTCTCTTTATCCGACTCTTCAGGGCTAGAAGTTTGTCCTGTAGCTTCAGCTTTAGTGACCTGCATCAAAGAATCGAAAGATATTGTTCACTTTCAGAAATGTACTTCAGTATATACTAGTATTATTATACTTTTACCTTTTCCAAAACAAAATGGATGATAAACAGGTAAACACTACTAAAAATTAGCTTTTCCTAGTTAATCTACCTTCTGCCTTGGTTCTGTACTAGATTCATCAGCAATATCCCTGCTGCCATCAAACTTGTGTAACTCGTTCTCTGACTCATCAGAGCTAGAAGCTTGGCCTGTAGCTTCAGCTTCTGTGACCTGCACTCAAATCATTGAAAGATATTGTTCGTTTTGAGAAATGTAGTTCAGTATATACTAATATTATACTTAATCATTGCCAAAACAAAATGGAAGGTACACGGTAAACACAGTGCTAAAAAATAACTTTTCCTAGTTAATCAACCTTCTGCCTTGGTGTTGTACTAGATTCATCAACAATATCCCCGCTGCCATCAAACTTGAGAAACTCATCCCCTTTATCCAACTCATCAGAGCTAGAAGTCTCATAAGAGCTAGAAGTTTCGCCTGTAGCTTCAACTTCTGTGACCTGCGTTCAAATCATTGAAAGATATTGTTCACTTTGATAAAAGTACTTTAGTATATACTAATATACTTTGACCTTTGCCAAAACAAAATGGAAGTACACGGTAAACACAGTGCTAAGAAACAGCTTTTCCCAGTTAATCTACCTTCTGCCTTGGTTTTGTAATAGATTCATCAACAATATCCCCGCTGCCATCAAACTTGAGTATCTCGTCCTCTTTCTCCAACTCATCAGTGCTAGAAGTATCATAAGAGCTAGAAGTTTGACCTGTAGCTTCAGCTTCTGTGACCTGCATTCAAATCATTGAAAGATATAGTTCATTTTTTTAAATATACTTAAGCATGCTAATATGATACTTTGACCTCTGCCAAAACAAAATGGAATGTACAGTATATACAGCGCTAAAAATAACTTTTCCTAGTTAATCTCTCTACCTCAAGACTTGGTTTTGTATTAGATTCATCAGCAATATCCCCACTGCCATCAAACTTGAGTAACTCATCCTCTTTCTCCGACTCATCAGAGCTAGAAGTCTCATAAGAGCTAGAAGTTTGTCCAATAGCTTCAGCTTCTGTGACCTGCATTCAAAGCATTGAAAGATATTGTTCAAATTTTGAAATGTACTTCAGTATACCAAAACAAAATGTAAGGTAAGATAAATACAGCTCTAAAAATTAGCTTTTCCTAGTTACTCTACCTCAGTTAGAGCAGATTGAACTTCTTCTTCACTGAGGCCAGGACTTGTCATTTTCTCACCAACGCCACAGCCTGCAGAACAATTCGCTGGTCCAGTAGGAAGTTTCATTTGCAAGCGTATTCTTCTTGGAGCAGTGCCATGATTTGCAATATTCTTCTCTGACTCATCAGAACTAGAAGTCTCCCCTGCAGCTTCAGGTTCTGTGACCTGCAATCAAAGCATTGAAAGATATTGTCAAGCTTGAGAAATGTACTTCAGTATACTAATATTATACCTTGTCCTTCCGCAAATGAAAATGGAAAGTAAGATAAGCAATATATCAACAGCGCTTAGAATTAACTTTTCATAGTTACTCTACCTCGGTTAGAGCAGATTGAACTTCTTCTTCTTCAGTGAAGCCAGCACTTGTTATTTTCCCATAATTGACACAGCCTACAGAACCTTTCATTGGCCCAGTAGAAAATGTCATATCCAACCGTATTCTTCTTGAAGCAGTGCCTTGATTTACAATCTCTGAATTTGGTCGTTGCTGAGGTCCACGGGTCCTAGTCTTGATTCCAGTTCCAAGAGTTCCAGTGTTCATTCCAATACCACCACTATTCACGTTATTCTTCAGACTGGTTAATTGTTGCAAATGATTGATATAACCCATTGGAGAATCAGCAAATGAAGTTCCATGGCCAACAGAATCATTTCCAAAGCCACCGATATTTCTGGTTCTAAACTCTTGGTTAAAATGTGTTGTTTGAGTAAGGATAGATTCATACGAAGCTTGCATTTGCAGTGCTTGCTTGTTATCCATATGCCCACCAAGCCACCTTTGAGCTCCAACCTCTGTATCAAACTGGTAAAGAAGTTGAAAATATATATAAAAAAAGAGTTAGAACCCAACAGTAAACTAAATCCAAGTGCCTAAAAAGTGAAAAATAGATAGAAAAAAGGATGCTGAAACCGACACAAAGCTAAAAAATCTAAAGAAACAAACCCCTAAAACGCTACATACATATGAACATAAAAGCTACTAGCAAGTTATTTCTTTACCTGTAATTGTGGCATTTCAGTGTTTGTGTCAGTGAATATGCCATTTTCTTTGAGATATGATGTTTCTGGTTGTGTTGCCTTTGAGATGAATGAATTATCAAACAAGGGCATCTCTGTTCCGGCAACCGAGTTCTTCTGAGAGCTTGACTCTCCACAGGAGTCATAATGGTTATTTAAGACATCATCCAACAAAGAGAATGATACATCTTGTGCGCTTGTCCCATCGTTGAAATGAAATCCATTTTGATCATGGCCAAATTCATTAGCATAAGGAGAGTAAATGCAGTGTGGCAGATCTTCAAACAAATGCGAGTTCATTGGTGGTGAAAAGACTTTGTAGTCAAGTTCACCATAATTGGGTTCATACAAATTTGAATTGCCTTCCAGAAAGGGACATTTCTGTGTTAAAAAGCAAGAAAACAGTCACTCACCAAGAATCACAATATAGTCAAAGATAAATCAATGATTAATACAACAATCCCAAACCATAGATAAAATTATCCACTTCACACCTCCACTACAGTTTCTTCTGTTGCATGATCATCTGCATTAGAAGTCATATGACTATTGCAGCTGCTGGTATCACCTGTTACTTGATCATTTTGCATAAAGTTATCAGGCTTTTGAGATTGTGTCACAGTTGACACAGTATCCTGCAGAAAATCCGATGAAGAATCATCGGGAGAAGATTTTATAATGGCAGGAGAATATCCCGTTTGTTCCAGTTCATCATACTTCGCAGCATCATTCTTCTCTTCTACTTTATGAAACAACCGAAATAGAACAAAAGCAGTCTGCACCCCAAAAAAAAAGGTCCAGGTCATACAACCATTCCTCAACTTTTTCTCCCTGGCTTTTCAATCAAACAAATATACTAATAAAAGCAAAAAATTTAAGTTCATGAAAATAGTTGCACCAACTTGAACTAAAAACACGAGTAAGAAAATAAAAAGAAAACCTGGCCAGGGGCAGTGCCATCAAGGTCCTTGGTAGTGGGGCGGTATTCGTGCATGATCCAGTTAGTACGCTCACCCTTGGGAGCACGACCCTTGTAGAAAACAAGGGTCTTCTTCATCCCGATATGCGACTTTTTAGACTTGATAGTTCGATCTTTCCCCGTGGCTTTCCAATACCCTTTATCCGTTGCTCTGTTGGAACGGTGGCCGTTGGGGTACTTCCTGTCACGAGGACAGAAAAAGAACCACTCCGGATCGTCCGATTTTATCACCGACAGTCCTGAATTTAATTCAAACATCCCAAAATTTAAAAATAAAATTGATCAAATTTCGAACTATAAAATATCTCCCCGCATACTCTGAGGAATATCAAAAAGGAATATATGTAGGCTTTCCCGAAATTTCCAGTTTTAGAAAACAGGAATAAATCTTCTAAACTATATATATATATTACAAGCGTTGAGGAATAACTCGGGCTAAAGGTATCAAAGATTCAGAACAATTATTCACCGAATAAATTCTGCTGCTTCTTTTTATTTCCCCGGAAAAACTAAAATAAAAGGAAAGAGATAAAAAAAATACCAGGCAAATCCCAGGGCTCCCATTTGCAGACATCAATTTCAGGAATGACCTGAACCTCGGAATGACGACCGTTGATCTTCAACCTAAGGTAGTGATTGATGAGCTCCTCGTCGGTCGGCCTAAATCTAAATCCTAAAGGCAAAGCTCCCATCGTCAAAACCGCCATCACTCAGACCTCAAAAACTCTAATACCAACTAGTTTTCAAAAACCATAAAAACAATAACACGTCCGACTATCTTCCACTGTAAGTAAACTCGTCCGACTTCTTCGATTACTTAGCCGAGGCTACTTTTCTTTTGGTTTTAGTTGTTGTCGTTATTTGGGTAATCTCCTGCAGTTAAGGAGGAATGGACTCAGATGCCCCGTCCAAATATAGGCAATCACATGCTTCCGAAGCCTTTCGTGTCGCTTTCTCTTTCGTGGGATAGACTAATCATTGAAGCGCGCGTATCGCAGGGGAAAGAGCTGCGTCGCATACTATAACAACCAAATGTTGATCTTTTGGTAACCGAGTAAAAGTGTAGCACTACGTAGTCCAATTACCAGAAGACCCCTAATGAATGAAGAAAGGAGAAAGCAATGGAACACTGTGCTTAGCTTATCCCGCAAGACTCTTCTTCATAGCGTCAAAAAAGTAATCTCAGTAGTGCTACGCTTTTTGATTTTGCTTTCTTTTTCCTTTTCTGGCTTTCAAATTTGATTAAAGTAAAAAAAAAAACAATGAACAGTCTCCTCGTGCGCTAGGCCACGCCTCTGCCTTTGAATTTGTGTATTTCTTTATTATTTGATTTCATTTAGAGGTGGTGGTGGTTTTCAGGTCATTGCACTTGAGCTACCGTCATTGTCTTTGAAATTATATGATGTAACCAACATTTAAAAAGTTTATTATAAGAATATTAATTAATAAATTCAAAACATGCAAGTAGGTTGAATTGAAGTAGACGATGATTTCTAACTTGGATGCTCGAAAAAGATTACATCCCTACATTGTCCTCAACGGCTCAACCATTATTTTATCTATTATTACCTAGGGTAAATTGCACATTTACAATTATTTTTTATTTTAGTACTCAAATTTTATTTTATTTTAAAATTATATTTAATATTTAGTTTATGTTTCATTGTGGGATTACATTTAATAATAATATTTATGTATTGTCATAAAATAATATCACATCATCATTAAAAAAATAACATCAAAAGTTCTGTCAATTTTATAATGATTGTATAATAAATTAAAACATAAACTAAACATTAAGTATAATTTAAAAAAATAAAATTTTAATATCAAAATAAAATAAAAGTAATAATTTAAATATTAAATATGTAATTTATACGATTATCTAATACAAGATTAGAGATGCCAATTGAATAAGATTGGTGTAGAATGTTCCTCTCGGTAAAAAAAATTCATCTTTATTCTCTGCCACGTAACTCGTTGCGGATATAAAATTTAAAATCATTCCCATGCTTTGACCCGTAAGACTAAAACTATCATGCCTTACTCTCCACATAGATCTCCAGACCCACCTAATCTCAGTATATATGTCTCACAACCTATTTAAATTCGGAATATATGGTAGTATTTTGTTAAGTCTTTCAACTATTAAAAATTGTAAAATTATATTTTGATTATAGGATATTATTTTATTGAGTTTCGATTATTAAAAGTTAACAAATAGTTACTTGACTATTTAGTATATTCCAAACTCGTCATTTTTCGTTAAAATTTTGAAAACAGTCTTCGCTGAATATTAACATGTTGATTGAGATATAATAATTTTTGAGATTCTGATATCATATTTTATCATATCTCATTCATCAAGTTAACATTCAACTCAGATTGCCTCTAATTTTTTTTTAACAAAAATGACGATTTTAGAACATACTAAATTATCAGGTGACCATTTCATAACTTTTAATAGTCAGAGAACTCAACAAAATAACACGCTATAGTTAAATGATCATTTTATAGCTTTTAATAATCTATGAACTCAATAAAACATCACCTATAAACGAGAGATCATTTCTGTACTTTACCTTTATTTATAAGTATCATCTAAATAAATATAAATCAAGTTTTTGTTTATCCGGACTCCTCATGTGACGTTCCAACTCTCGTCATTTAAAGAAAAAAATAAATCGTTAGGTTGACCTTTAAATTGGTAAATTTAAATATAACTCCGATAAAAGTTTAAAAAAAATATAGAAAATAAAGTCCTGGTGCGGGACGAGATCAATACATGTCAAACTCAAGTTTAGGGGTGTTCAGATATAATTTAATCCAAAAAAATAATCGAAAATTGATTTAAAAAATTAATAATCGAAAAAAATTAAAATTAATTTAGTGTGTTTGATTTTTTTAAAAAAACCGATTGATTCGGTTTTAATTTAAAAATTCGGAACCGATCCAAACCTAACAAACTCTTACAATGCTTTTGTATTTTGTCCCCCACCACTGCTTTTATCCTTCTCTATGTTGGGCTCAACCAACATTGTCTAATATTATAATTGCAGTATGTCAAAATCATTTGGATTTTGTGCATGAAATGGCCCACCAATGAACTAAAAAAAGGAGTATTTAGGGGGATTCTTGCTGCTTGCTTGCACCGTTCAGTAAACTGTAATTTTTTTTAGTTCTGCAACTGCTAGCAGCCAACACACATCAGTTAGTGTATTTCTGTGATTTTTATTTCTAATTATGTTTCATTTTTCTTTGGTTGGTGACCATTCAAATAAAGGAAGAAGCCGATTTTTTTTATGAAAAAATTTCAAGAATTATTTTGAAAAATTAGAATTCAAAAATCGCACAAATTAAAATCGAATCAAATCGCACTTAATTGGATCGGATCGGATTTTTTTAGAAACATCCAAACCGATCCATCGGATGAATTTTTAGCCAAAAACTGATCCAACCCGACCGCGAATAACCCTACTCACGCCCTGTGTTTTAAAAAGCGTGCCTGAGGCGCTAGGCGAGGCGTTTAAAAGAAAGCCTCCGACCACCAAGGCGGCGACGAGTACATGAGGCGGCGATTCAGTCGTCGGAGACGGCGAGAGACAACGAGGCGATGCTTTTAGCGATTCACGTATAATGATTGCATGACTCTTCCGGTGTAGACGTGGTAGTTGTTCTGGTAGTCATAGAAGGGCCGATGGCGGTGTCGTTCTAATAACTTTCATTGGTACCAGAAAACTCTGCCGGAACTGATGTTGTTGTTGATGGTGAATGGACAGAGACCCGGCGACGTTGTTTGGCAGAATCATCTGAACAGAACCTCCACCAGCAGTGGTTCCCCCGCCTTCTGACTCGTCATCATCTTCATCATCGTTTACATTTTCTTCAGAACTTTCATCAGCTCCATCTTCTCTGTTACTTTTCAATCTATCCCCTCTTCTTCTCTTACTCGCTCTACTCAAGCGATCTCTTTCTCTTTCCCGTTCCATATCTCGCTCTCTATCCCGTTCCCGTTCCCTTTCCCGCTCTCTATCATATTCTTGTTCCCTTTCTCGATCTCTTCTTCTCTTTCTCTGCCCTTCTCTCCCTCTTCTCCTTATCTTTCTCTTTCCTCTTTTTGTGCTCTAAATGTCATATTCTTTTCGCTATTTCACCCTCAATGAAACCCACTCCAAGCCTTGGTGAACAGCCACGATCACTGATTACCAAAAATTGACCGAATTTGAACCGTTCATTCCTCGACAGATCCAACGATTCACATTGGGCTTAAACCAACATGGAAAGACCTCAACCGTTGATTAATTATCTCTTCTCTCCCTTAACCTTTTTCTAAATTATTCCCTATTTGCAACGTGTCATATTTAAAGATTAAATTGTGTTTGAGGTATGATTATAAAATATTTACAAATGTTTTGTAAAATTAAGCGCCTCGCGTACGTGAATCCCTCGTCTCAAAGCGCCTAAAAAATTGAAGCTTTCAGGTAGCTAATCGCCCTGGAGCACCTAGCGCCTTTTAAAACACAGCTCACGCCTATCTCATTTCTCAAGACAATTTTTATTTCTATCCTCACCCCACCACCCGTGAAACATGTACCTATCTCCGCCCAATTGGATACAAAATGGGACGAATCCTAGCGAACCTGTCCCACTTATTTTTAGGGTGTTAAAAAATACTCGACTCGTTGAGCCGATTAAAAAATATCATATATTTATAATAAAAAATATCTAATTTTTCAAGTTCAATACTTGACCCGCTATTTTCTCGGATTTTCGGGTTGAGCCCAAGTCACAAGATATCTTTAACTGGATATCTGCAGACCGAATACCCGGTTTCTTATATATTTTTTATTTTATATTAGATTTTTTTATTCCTAATTCTCAAATTATTTCACCCTAATATTTTAAATTCCTAATTTATTAAACTATTTAACTATAACATTATAAATTATTAATTTTTAAATTATTTCTCCATAACAATCTAAATCATTTCTTTTAACTTCAAAACATTTTAAATTTTATTTTATTTTTTAATTTTATTTTTAATAAGTTTTATCTTTTAATTATATAATTTAAATTTTTAAATTTTATGAGTATATTTGTAGTATACTTTTAAATTTAGATTTTTTCTATGTAATTTTTTTTAAAATAATATAATTTAAAGAAGAAAAAAAAATATGAAACGAGTACCCGTGGCTCGAAAATACGGGTACCCGTAAATCTTAATAAGCTGGGACACGGTCCAGCATTTTGGTATCCGAAAATTCCGGATACTTACCGAGTTTTGAACAACCCTACTTACATCCCTAACATGAATGGTGATGATCAATTGTACAATGGAAATAAAATTATAATAATAATAATAATAAATCGGATCTCAACCCTAAACTCAACTATGAGCAAACATAATCATAAAATCACAAACTATTTTCTTTCTAAAATAATGAAGAATTAGAACTAATTAATCTGGGGATTCCAACCAATTGCCAATTCAACCTTCAATATAATCAGGCTCCACTTAAAGTCAAAAGGATGCATCTTCCGTAAAAAGCAGTGGACATGGAATTTTGATATGCTTTTATTCCTATTCCGTTACAAAATATGAAAGATCCACCGTGTGGATCCAGAATAACAGCCTTTGATTTCAACATAGTTATTAATAATCAAGGAAATATAGTTACTCATCTCGAAAACTTGAAACCCTGGCATACATATCCAAACCAAATGTTTCATGTCCAATTTGACTGTAAATTCTCAAACCATTCAAGGGGAATGTTACAAACTGTGTTATGGTGTATAAATGTGAGTGGTAACAATAATGGTGCCCTCGCAGAGTAGTATGCTGAACTTTATATACGCAAATAAAAAGAACCACGTAATTGGCTAGTAGACTCAAATTTTACTATATACAGGTTTACCTACAAAGCAGGATGATGCCCAAGAGCCACATTTGCTTCTACCCTTTGCACGGCTCTCCTAATACTCCACTCGTGGCAGAATTCAAGGGCAAGTCGAAGGGCAGTTCCAAGTCCTAGTACAACAATAACACCTGTACAATGTCTCTTCAAGTTATGACATCAAGCATACGAGGCAAAGCTACTTCCTAAGAATGTTAACAGGCTTGGGGAGAATGCGAGTGAGGTGTGCATACCAATTATGATGTTAACAGGCAGTACAGAGACACCAAGAGTAACGGATATAAACACATCCAACATTAAACCAACAATAAGGATTGAGAATGCCACCCATAGTGGACTAAAACAACCCTGCCATAAAGAATGATTTGATACAAAATTAACACAAACAGGAAAAATTTTCTCAAGAATAATACTATCTACTAGTTATCCACTTACCCTTTGACGTTCATGTGGGGTAAAGCTTGGATCAACCCTCCAAACCCAGTAATTTGTCTGCATCATGAAACACATTTAAGAATCGATCTAGACACGAGGATAGGATGATATAAATAAACCCCAAAATATAATATATACGCTTCAGCACCAGTTTTCTCTGCTTGCTTTGGACTATCACTCAATATCATCACTTAATAGTAAACACCACCAAATTATTTACTCAACTTCGTTTTAATTTTCAGCTTTAAATTTGGTTAACGAAACCTCTTCCTGCAATTGACCCCCAGCCCAACCCCAAGATAATATTGAATGTCTAGCATCTTGTATGCCAAACCAAATAATACAAGCAAAGTCATCCTCAGGTTTATATTGCTAGCCCTTTCACTTAAGCACAGAATACTTACACTGGGCTGGGACTCTGGAGCTGATACATTTACAGCTACAGCTCTGCATGACAATAGTAAATAAAATCATGTATCAGTTACAAATAAGCTAAGTTTAAAGCATGGTATCAAATTTGTATAATTACTGGCATATTTCGCATTTGTTGGATCCTTTTGTACGAAACCACATGTCAATACAAGATCGATGGGCTTTTGCAAGACCCCCCTTACATTGGCAACCAAGATCTATAAGACCTTCTTCCTTGTCCTGTTGACAAACTCTGAAAAAACATACAAATAGGAATTAGTTACAGCATTCGATACTACAGATTGTTTTCATGATTAATAGCAGAAAAACAAGTTGAAGGCTAGAGGTAACAATCATAATGGAATGTATATTTAAGATTGCTGGCTTACCAGCCAATTGAGTACTAGCTTAGATGGCACATGCATACTACATTGCTAGTGATAGGCTTTGGAGGTTGCACATTCGAGAGAGCTTAGCAGTTAAGGTCCTCCTCAGGAGGATTACTTAGATAGGGTTAGGGTGGATTAAAAAAGTGGGAAAAATTTTTTGTTGACGGACCACAATATATATAAAGACAATCTGAATGAGACATCTTCTCAACCTAATCCTAAGGGTCTAATGTCACCAAAACCTTTATGCAGCACATTCTTTTGCCAAATTATAACGAAACAGTACAATAAAACAACGCTCATTATTGTATAGCATGTTTAGAAAGTATAAAGAGAACTAAGACTACCACCTTCTGGGCTAAGTGAAATGCTTGGGGCAATTAACATAAACAGATAAAGATTTCATCCTTGTGACCAGGGTTTCAAATCGCGGTCGTGGTCGCGTTTTCGGTTATTTCGGATTTACCGTGATTGCGGCCGTCGCGGACGCTATTGCGGCCATCGCGGGTAACTCGGACGGCGGCGAAACCGCTATATCGCGGCCGAAATCGTGGTCGCGGACCGTTTTTTAAAACCCTGCTTGGGACTTCAACGACCATGGCTAACAGATACTCAAGCCTATGTAATGATCTACACTCTTACTAGGAGTCCATCCAATCCAGAAAAGTCAAAAATTGGAACAAAATTTCAAAAGAAGCATGATAAATGAGGATACAGAATGTATGAATGACTGGTAGAAGATGAAAAAAAGCGTATAACATACCTGCATTCCACGTCGGAACTAATGCTCCTCGAAAAAAAACCCTTTTGAGGAGCCACACGAGGTAATTCATCCATAATACAGTCCATATCTTTTGATAATTGAGCTACTGGCTGCTGAGTTACATGAGACTCACCCTTCGTTACCACGATGGTTAACAATGTCGGACTGGCCTCACAGGTCGAATCCTTAACAGAGCGTGCCAGCTTTTCCTCCTGAGGCAACACCAGGTTGTTTCCCTGCTTCTCAAGATCAGGTTCAGGTAAATTACTGGAGTTGTAACTAGCTCTAGTGCTAGTCTCATTTGAATCTTCATTCTGCATCTGATTATAATTTACAGCGTTTATACTACCCCCGTGTGGTCCAAAAAGATTTAATTCCGTGAAGTTCCCCAGCACCCTCACTGCTGATTTCATAAACATAAAAAAAACAACCATCAAAACAGCCAGCCAGTCAATCAAAACCCTAGGGATTAATTATTAACAAGTAAAATTGCAAAACGCCAGCCTTAAACCCTTCAAACTATGCTTAAAACAGAATACAAAAGACAGTTCCGTAGTTCTATTACTTCGATTCTAGACTAGAAACTATGAAAACGAAACCAAGCAATCAGAGGTAACCTGCTAACAAGATGCACTGCATAAAATTCCTGTTTAAAATTTGCTCAGAGGAAAAAAAATATCGGTATGCGGTGACCAAAAAACAAGCATGTACAGAAAGGAGTAAAAGAGGTGATGAAATTTCTTTTATAGAAAAGTGAGGAGCGTGTACCTGAAGAATGTTTGCTTCCTTTCAACCACTGATGAGTTTGCTGCAAGTCGAGAGTTGAGCAAACAACAGCAACAATATAAGGAAAAAGAAGAAGAAGAAGAAGAAGAAGAAGAAAATGGGAGAGAAACTAAAATGAGAGATTAAATAGAGACGACAGTAATTTTTATTTCCCATCCCTCCATACTTTTATGAATTAAATAACGACGAATTGGGTTAACTAACAGACGAAGAATCTTTTGTTTAAGAGCTCAACGCCACGGAATAAGGTGGACCGTAGCCGACTCCCTTCCTTTCGTGTACGAGTATCTCTAAAATATGAGAATTGAGATTTTCCTGTTTGTTTGACGTTTCTTTTTTCTCCTCTAAAAAAACTCTATTCAACATATTGTTATTTTTCTTTGATATTTTAGTTAAAAAAAAAATAGGCCACTCCAAAACAAATAGTAATCTATTTCAATTTTTGAAATATTATCGATGCATAGTACAATCCTTTGGAAGCTTTAATAATTAAATATTATATTTTTAATATAATATTATTATAAAATATTTGAGATTTTTAATATTATTTTATTAACTATTGCACAAACCTGTGAAGCGTTTTTTCAAGACCCATTAAATAAAGAAGCAAACAAAATCTCAGACATTTTATAATAATAATAATATCATGAAAACATTAGATTTGATTGTTCAAGATTTTAACTGATTGTACAATTAAAAGATAATAATTTTCGTTATATTATAAAAGAAATAGGCAGAAAATAGGTTTCCATATAGAAAAGTTTTATTTTGGATCACCCACTGACCATTCCATGTTTGTTTGCTAAGTTATATTAGTGGCTGAAAATGACAATGAAAAAGCTGGTATTGTGTCTTATTACGAAGGGCAAGTAAGTTTGGTACACGAGGGGAATCCAGGGTGCTTATCATCCCCGTCACGTCTTTGCCAATTTAGTACTAAATGTTGGGCAATGGGCATGTTAAGCCTTGGATGCAGTATGTATTATTGGCATTGAGACAGCCATTAATGATATGCATGAAGGTGGGACAACCTTAATTAGGTATCAATTATCATTACCAACCTTGAAGAAGTGGAGGGCTGAGACTTCTCACCACATTAAACAAGTTAATTTGAAGACTAACACTAAGCAGTAGGTATAATGTTCAACTCTGCACTTCTTTATTATCAAATTACAAATTTCATCCCTTAACTTACTCCTCACTCCTATTTTAATTACTAAAATTTAAAATTTATTCTTATTCTGGTCACTCATTTATTAAATACTTAATGGCATTACGATTGTACATTTTCCTTTTATAATTTATGAAGTGTCCTCATTTTTTTTTTCATTTTTATGAAGAAAAAAAAATCGTAGTTTTGAATTTTATTTACTTTGTCGATGATGAAACATCTTCTTCTAAATCCATCGATGGGATGGTGGAGAAGGGGAAATTGAACTATATATCTTGATTCCACGTTGATCGGATGATTTTCTTTTATAATTTATGAAGTGTCCTCATTTTTTTTTTCATTTTTATGAAGAAAACAAATAGTAGTTTTGAATTTTATTTGCTTTGTCGATGATGAAACATCTTCTTCTAAATCCATCGATGGGATGGTGGAGAAGGGGGAATTGAACTATATATTTTGATTACACGTTGATCGGATGATGGATATTATAGATTAAAGTGATTTCATGTTTTTAGGCTTTAGGGTTGAGTTTTATATTGATTTTGGAAAAATCCAAACTGATAGAATGGTAGGAAACAATAAAACGAAATTATCGATATCTTGAGTGATCAAAGAAGGAACTGATAATGATAATTATAGTGTCAGTGTGATAGATGAGAATGACACATGGATTCCACACCTTGATTATCAAAATAGGAATAAATCAATAACAAGAAAGTTGAATAATAAAAATCGTCATACAAGATAAAAAAAAATGTAAGAATTTATATTTTTAATTTAATTTTAATGCAGAAACGCATACAAGATTGATGATTCACGTACATAGTAAACGCCAACCCAGGCCCAGTGAGGTCTTTAAAGGCCCAGCCGATGAGTCATAAGAACACAGCCATCTTCAATGGTTGCAGCAAGCCAGCAACAGGTGGAATGACAGCTTTGACAATGCCTATTATCACCAGAATGATTCTTCCCCTTCAAATCTCTTGAATGAAAATTAAAAAGGTTAAAGAGCGTGACAATAACAAAAGTGTGTGTGTGTGTGTGTGTATATATATATATATATCTGTAGAAGCTTAACCATTTTTCAAGTAATCCTTCTGCTTTAATCTGGGAATAAATTAAAATCCTTGAATTGCCATAGAAGGCACTTCTTTATTCCATATCAAACACTACAGTTTTGGCCCTGCGGCTATTCTTATATGTAAATGTTTTTCAGTTTCAGCTCCAACCCAACTCGCATTTGCCTGTATTTGCCTATCTCTTCCTTCTCAAACCTTAACTTTGTTTGTTCTTTGTGTTGCTAAATAATGCCTCTGGAATCAAGCAAGATTGGCCAGTCATCTGGTGAAGGAGATAAGCATAGAGTACTTGACAAAGAAATCAAAGACATGGTCTCCGCCATAACTCGTCGTGTATGCGGTGTTCATAAACCGGGATCGAGCCAGGGTGGAGATGATGATGGTGTGAGGATTATCACACTTGCAGGAAGCAATGCGGGGGCAACAATGCGAAGTGAGTTGGATGAGAAATCCAGCAGCCCGCATGGGATTTCACTTTGCGAGCCTGACACACTCAGTACCTACGTGAACAGCAATTTCCAAGCCGTTAACAACTCAATGATGCTTGGCAGCAGCTACAACACCAATGATCCCGGTGTCCATTTGGACATCTCGGATGTCGCCGAACATGAAGGCAAGAAGTCAGATGATAAGCACAGGAGGGGAAAGAAAATAGAGAAGGATTCCGCCAAAACCGAACATTCCGTTTAAGGAACAAAAAATCGCAGCTATAACATGGTTCAAAAGTGCTGAAAAGAAGTCGTCTAAGTCAGTATACATTGCATACAATAAATCTCTGTATTGCTTTACTTTATATCCAAGATTATGTTTGCTAGACAACATGTAAAAGGTAAAGACTAAGGGAATCTGTGTATTCCCTTTTTTACTTTAACCATGGTCTAGGGTGTCATCCAAGATTATGTTTGCTAGACAACATGTAAAAGGTAAAGACTAAGGGAATCTGTGTATTCCCATAGTGTAACTATGCTTCTTTCCGAATTATGTGTTTTATTATATACCGTTTTGATGTTTTCTGCATTCTTGTTAACCATGGTCTAGGGTGTCAACCTTATAATAATTGTGTGAACTTTCAAGTTCATACTCCTCTTTTTGTGTCTTTAATTGCAAGAAGCAGATCCAATCTGATGATTTATCTTCTTTGCACACCACCTGTAATCATAAGGGTCTATCAGATACCACATGGTCTATGGTATCCCGGTCTGCAATCTGGATCCAATCGAACCGAAGAATGGCAAGTTTAGATCGTTCATTTATAGGAGCACTATTGCTGCATTATTTATAACCATGAAAGCTGCCATCATATATAAGCTTAATTCAACATACTTAGGAGTCTTAAACTGATTAATAAGCATACAGCTCTTGTGCCGGAGAAAACAAATTTGATGAAACGGTACATCTGAAATATTCGGAACTAAGGTTGCTAAACAAAAGTTTGGTTTTTCCATGTGAAACCGACTTTGGAGGTGAAACTGAAAGCACATCAGATCAAACAATGGAGTTCAAATTTTAATGTTACTCTGTCGCACTGTTTTATCATGAACCTCATTCTCCATATGGTATATGCCATAAGGTTGTTATATGTTACCATGAACCTCATTCTCAATTTTCATTGATGAACTTTGCATATCATAGTCTCACAGTCCTGGAAACAAGGGTGCATCCATCACAAAATTGTTAAAAAAGTAAATTTTTTCTTGATTTCTTTGTTGCGGAACAATCGAACGAGAGATGTTGAAACATATTTGGTGGTATTTAATCAAGAGGGTTATTCGAATACCACGTGAATGAACTTAAAGTTAGGCGGCAAAACGCTACTTGCTCTCATGACAACTTGAATCACAAGAAACTGTAATGACTGGTAACTGAGCCTCTTGTTCCCTAATCTCTTTGGCTTGTTGAGCAATTTTTGATATACAGTTCTGCATCTCTCTGTTCTTGCCCCAAAGAAGAACATACAGTCCGACAATGACAACTATAGAACCCAACAAACTGTTCATCGGAGTGGCGGGGAAGAAAGTTAGCGGTGGGTATACATCAGCTTGTAAGTATATAAGCAAATGTATTAATTAGGTAGGACATAGGATAATTAATTAACCTCCCAAGATTGAGTTGTTCATGAAGGATGGGGATGTCAAACATGGCTGCCATTATCTGAACGAGAGGACTGAAGGCTGCAGTGAAGACCGGACCCCTCTTCTTGACACACCACGCCATGCCGACAAATGACAACCCTGACCCTATCATTCCCTGCATAAACAAAACAATAGTGGGATAAACAAAGAAGAAACTCATGAGTTGGACATCAAAATCTTATGAAAAATGCTCCAACAAGCTTTTTTTCTTTGTGGCCAACATTTCTATTTAGCTATTTAAATCCTTGGAAGCCATGGTTTTCAAGTGGCCCTTCAACAGACACTAATGTGGTGTGTACTATTTCTGCAACCAGGCAATACAAAATTACAAGATAGATGCGTAGAATTGAAGTTGGAATCTATGCCTCTCTTTTTTGTAAATTTTAATTGAATGGCAACAAGGGAAAAAGATGTTTTGGAAAAAGGAAAAGATTTGCAATGCTGGCCTAGCCTACACGACAGCATATACCTAGGCCACCCTTCCCTACTCCTCAACCAAAAATATGCTGTTGGGTAACCATCTATGTTTCTCGAACTCTTTATTTTACTGAAAATATGCATATCCGATACATATTCGACGGTTGAGCATACTTGTGTCGGAGGCATATCTATATTCGGCACTAATACCCGATTTGAGAACATAATTTAAAGCTCACCCTGTTATAAACTTCCTAGAATTAGTCATCCATTTTTTGGACATTTACACCAAGAAGAGCATTCTTACTGCATAGAGGACAGTTATGATTTCAGCTTTTCCCTTCAGTGCCCACATGGAAAGGTCCCTGTTTATAAGCAAGCTTAAGGCAGCTGACTGAATTGCACCGAAGAACGACATGATTGCAGTGCTGGAGAATTGGCAAGGATATCTTCTTCCAACGTATGATTGAATGATAAACCATGAAGACCACAACAGTGTTCCCACTATAAGAGCTAAGCAACCGATGGTCCACCTTTCTGCCCTCCTAGAAGAGCTCAGCTTGACAGCATTTGAGACGGTCGGAGCCATGGCATATGAGTGTGGGTGTTTGAATAAAGGCCTTCCTTTATAAAGTGTTAATAGCAAGGCACCTCCTACACAAATCACCGAGCCGAGTATTTTCCCTCTCCCGCTGTTGCTTCTGAGGTTCACCGTTTCAATCCTGCAGTATAAAGAAGTGACACCAGAGAGTATTGGTAACAAAAGTTTGCACAAGAACATGGTACCATTACAAACAAGGGGTGATTAGCATCGATACCGAAATGGTAATGCCATTATAAATGTGGTCACTGGCACCATGTTGATGAAAGCGCATGCGAATGTAGCGGATGTGTATTGAATTCCAAGAAGAAAGAAGTATTGCGTTAGTGAGGCCCTATAAGGAATCAACAAGTTAGATGTGCCTTTCATGATACTATCAAAGCTAGATGGAGATTCACGCATGTATAGTTGAATATAAACTAACCCCACGATTGCAATGCAGAAGAGGTAACATAAAATGCGTGGAGTGAGCTTAGGTCTGCTGTTCCTGCAAGCAATCTTAGTGCTGAAACTAATGACAAAGGAGGGCTAAAGCTAAAAAAACACACTTAAAAGGAAAGGTAATGGGAATAATGGAGAGTGGAGAGAGCTTCCTATACCTTTCCCAAAAGTATCCAATGGGGGCCAAGAAAATTGTAGAGATTGACAGCCGGAATGTTATGAGAACCAAATGGTTCATCCCATCATCAAGGACTTTCTTAAGAAGAATATTCACCACCGCAAAAGAAAAATCAACTGCTATCATCACAATAAAAGGGTACCATTCATTACAACTTTTCAATTCAGCCATTGAATCCATCACCAGCAGTCGAAAGAGCCGAGGTAAGGACTGGGACGGGGCGGTGCAAGCTCTCTCTCTCAGTCTGTTTGTTAAAAAAATTTCTTAGCAGTGCAACTGATATAGATAGACAAACATATGTAGAGCTCTAAATAAATGGAGTCTAGAATAAGTGGGAAGAAAGCAAGATTAAATTCTTCAAATCACATCAATGCTTTAAGCAACCAACTTTAGCAATAGTTTAATAAAATTATTCTCGTCCTTTTTTCACTTTCTTTTGACTGAACCTACTGGAGATTAGCTTGGAATCCCTTCGCAGGCCCTGGCAATATATCGAAAAGCATCTATGCATGTCGACCGGCTTTTCGTTTTCATATATTTCTTCAAACCCTATTGAATAAGATTGCTCATTTTCTGCATACCATTCAAGATTTTTCCATCAGAAATATTACAGAACACATATAATTTCATCGTATAGGGGCATAATCTGCATTCTGATTAGGGGTGTAGGAGAGATTGATACTCTTTATGCATGGCATCAAATAATTAATCTTTGAAACATGACAAAGAAGCATCCCCAGATCCTACAACTTGGGAAACAAGAACAATATGTCAAATCTTTTGCACCACTGTAGTTGAGGAGATGGTGATATGTGCAAGAACTGATGCACCCTTTGATTTATTGAAGTGAAACAAATCTAATTATTTCCTCTTTGAACCTTTTTCATTTTCCAGTTTCATCAATCCAGATGCTCAGTTTCAAGCCATTGATTATCACCTTACACAAGTCAACTTAATTAAAAAGCTTTTTTTCTCGATTAAGGATAAACATCTCTACCCTTGTTAGTCCAATCTCCACAGATTGTTCCCAGAGAGTCTCAGCTAAGTTTCCATCTTTGTGTATTTGAATATTTGGCATTTGTTCCACTTAATGCTCTAAAAGGAATGTTCATCACTGCATTTAGTTTTTAATCATTCTGCACGTTGAAATTAATGAATTGCACATGCGCCATAACTTAAAGCAGCCATTAGAATAACATTTTGTAAATTATCAAATATGCTTCAGCCTTCATATTAGGCAACTGCGTTAATCTGCAGATTGGAGGATTATATCATCATACTCATATCTAAATATATTTCGAAAATATGAAATACGAAGAGTTCGAATAACACAGATTTGATTACTATGAATACTGTCATTTCCTCCCTCCTACTTTCCTTAAATTATGCAGGGATTGAGAAAGGGACATGGATTCCAGATGCTAAAAACAACAACTTTGCAGTGACCACGACCACTCGTTTATCATCTTTAGAATGAGTCATCTAAGAAAGTGCCCCTACCATCTCTTTTTAACTATCTTATGCTATGGAATAACATAAAAAGATGTTTGGGAAATAGCAAAAACTCCTTGTCCACTCGTTCGCCCCCCACAGACATTCTCTAGCAACTTTGAAAATATCAGGGACGATTTTGACTACATTTATTCCTAAACTATTGGCAAAAGTGTTTCAAAATTCTTCTCCTTTTCTCTCTGCTCCATAGCTTTCATTATTAAGTGTCGCCACTGGTTTTAAATTTAATATACCGATGTTGTCGACGGACTTATGCAAGGGAAGGTAAGGAATAATTAACTGGTGAATGCTGTTGTACAATTTATAATATAGAAAATGAATGAATTGTAGTATTGATCTCATGATGAATCTGCAGCGGTTGGCCGATATCAATCAAGCAGAGAGGAAACAAACAGGTAGGGATCCCAAGGTGGAGATATTAAACAGGCCAACTTGGAGTTCAGTCTGCCTACTCCACCGGGAGTGAAATCGGGCAGTCAAATGGTCACTTTGACAGCACTTATTACTGGATTATAATAAACTTTCCAAAAAACGTGCTTGATAGGATGTAGAACGTCATCGTTTATAAATTCTATAATTTTTTTTCCTTTTCGATATGGATTCATATCCTCACTTCTCCAGGCTGTGACACTTATCATAGATGACGCTTGGCTTTGGACAGGTTGATGCCATTGAACCCCAATTTGATGCAATCACTAAAATACTAGCAGGGAAGAAAACATTGTCATGAATTCTAATGTATGTTTTGAGATTCTAGAGTATAATTGGAATCACTTTGTAGTATAGGATGTAAATTAATGATGGTAAACTATATGTTTAGTCACCAAACTTTCATAATGTTTTTATTTTGAACATTTAACTTTCATTTTTTGTTCTTTTTATATTGTCTGGTTCTTAATTTTTAATTTGATTAATATTTTTTGGGTAAATTTGTGAAAAAAAATCTCAAATTCATTTTTTTAGACTCTCTTTTATTCATAACGTTAAAATATTTTCGAATGGTGGAGAGGTCGAGAACAAGGAGAAGAGAAATATATTTTGATTTCATATTGATCAGATGAAAGATGTTACAAATTAAATTAATATAAACTAAAAAGAAGAAAGAGTGAGAGAACTGAGAATATTTTGGTAGAGTTACATTACAAATGATGTCCGACGATAAATAAAGAGTGATGAAGGAAGTTTGGGATGAGATTAGACCAAAAGGGCAGAAAGTTCCATGGCATAAACTTATTTGGTTTCCAATGCATATCCCGAAGCATTGCTTAATCGTTTGGATGGCTCTACAGGACAGATTACAGACCAGAGACCGCCTACAACGAATGGGAATTAGCACTGATACAGCATGTGTAAACTGCAACTTATCTCACGAGACAAGAAACCACCTATTTTCTGAGTGTTCACTAGCCGTCTTCTTATGGAATTCTGTTTTGACATTGAATGGAATGAATCCTACAAACTTATCATGGGAAGAAACGGTTGCTACAGCAAGCACTTCATGGAAAGGGAAATCTCTTATCACCTTCATTTTAAAGATAGCTTGGTCTGCTTTTATCTATACTATATGGCAGGAAAGAAATCAGCGAATTTTCCAACATCGGTCAAGATCTGCTGAAATTTTGCTAACCGAAATCATTGATGCTGTTCGGTTTTGTCTTAGGGGAAAAAATATCAATAGGCTAGATAGTACTAATCTTAACCTTTGTAATGCTTGGGGTTTATAGCTCTGCCATTCACTATCTTTGTTTAGGTGTGCATAGTTTCTTTTTTGTATTGATTGGTTGAATGATTTGTAGCAAAACTTTGTTGTTTGGATAATAAAATTCTACTTATCCAAAAAAAAAAGGTTGAAACTTTTTGACCAATTTTATAAAATGAAATGGCCTAAACTCGACAACGTTTTGGTGTTTCCATTAAACATTTAACGGTTGAGTGATCGAAACCATCGACTTGAAAGTTTAGAAATAATATTGAAAATTTGAAAAGTTAAATAACCAAAAGAAAAACACGTTGAAGGTTAGGTGGCTAAACATGTAGTATATCCATTAATGAATCAAGTCACATGATGATTTCAAGCCCAAAAGGAAGCCCAAAACCCTAAGGACTTGATTTAGATGTTAGATATTGTATAGAGAGGCATTTAAAAGGCTTAGGGTTTTATCAAAGCTTCTTCCTCTACTCGAAGCCGTCAAAGAGAGAGTGAAGGGGAAGAGTGTCAGAGAGCCAGAAAAATGAAGACCATACTTTCATCAGAGACAATGGACATCCCCGATGGGGTTAACATCAAGGTGAAGGCCAAGATGATAGAGGTTGAGGGCCCCAGGGGTAAGCTCACCCGCAACTTCAAGCACCTCAACCTCGACTTCCATCTCACCAAGGACGAGGAGACAGGCAAGCGCAAGCTCAGGATCGAGGCTTGGTTCGGTACAAGGAAAACCAGCGCCGCCATCCGCACCGCCCTCAGCCACATCGAGAATCTCATCACCGGCGTTACCAAGGGCTACCGTTACAAGATGAGGTTCGTCTACGCTCACTTTCCCATCAACGCCTCCATTACTAACGGAAACAAGTCCATCGAGATCCGTAACTTCCTCGGCGAGAAGAAGGTCACCCATCTCTCTCCCATTCCTTCCTCTATTTAAAATCTTTTACTGCATGTTTATTACGAATCCAACACTGATTATTGCTGTAGATTCATTTAAGCTTCTATTTTCCCCCTTTGAACAGCCAATCTCTATTTCTTGACTTGATTTTAGGTTTTGAGGTTTCTTATATTAATGTATGGTTTTCTATTACAGCTTTTTGAAATGACATATTCCCATCAGCTTCCCTAGTTGTCATTTTGGATACCTGATAACTTAATAAAACTACTATGTTGTATAGCTTGCTTTAATTTTATTATAGAACCGATCCATGTGTGAGTCTCTTGCTTAATGTCAACACCGTTTATTGAAGCTTGAAATTCATATCGACTTTGTTTGCTGATGTATAGAAATGGGCAATCATCATTTTTTATTCCTTTTCAACCTAGAATGTTTAATGTTATAGTTCAAGGGTTAAAGAACCATGTTTACTCTGGAATTATCTTTCTATTATTGATTCTCTTGCTTAATGTCAACACCGTTTATTGAAACTTGAAATCCTTATCGACTTTGTTTGCTGATGTATAGAAATAGGCAACCATCGTTTTTTTTTTCTTTTTCACCCTAAAATGTTATTGTTCAAGGGTTAAGGAACCATGTTTACTCTGGAATTGTCTCTCTATTAATGATTGATGTTCGAGATGTCTGATGTTTCTTTGATATTATTTATATATTTATGTTCTTCTGTTGGTGAAACATTAGGTGCGTAAGGTGGATATGTTGGAAGGTGTTTCCATTATTCGATCCGAGAAGGTTAAGGATGAGATCGTTTTGGATGGTAATGATATCGAACTTGTGTCGCGATCAGCAGCTTTGATAAATCAGGTACTCTCTCGTGCACCCTATGCTAATATTTCCCAATGTTCCATAACCTGACTGTTTAAACCTTCATTTTGAACAGAAATGTCATGTGAAGAACAAGGATATTAGGAAGTTCCTTGATGGTATCTATGTCAGCGAAAAGGGCAGGATCGCCGAAGAGGAATGATTATTATCTCGAGTTGTAGTTTTGGGGTACGGTACATTTCAATGTCATGGTAATATATGGTACCTTTTCCTGGACTACAGATGAAGGGTACAAGGATGTTATCTTTATCAAAAAATTTATTTTGTGTTGGGTCTTTGTTATGAAGTGGGTGAAGATATGATGGGAAAGTAAATGAGCTTTTTACCAAAAAATTTAACGAAGAAAATGGTCTTTTAGAATTCAACAATAACTGTATTGATCAAAACTCAAAACCGACATAACAATTAAAACAGTTTATCTTCAGTGGCAATATTAATGTGCCATTATTCAGCAAATATTTGAAGTGGATGCCACCATGCAAGATCAATGCGGTACGTTCAGTGTATTTCAAGTTCTCGATGTCGATGACAAAGCGGTACTTAACATCCCTCTTTACCACCCTTTCAAGAGCTTGAGTTGCATATTGGATTGGTATCTGATTTTGCGTAAAAAATATCTTAAATCGGTTTTGGAAAAAATCGGTTTTTTTAAACCGGATAGTATAACCGGTTTGGGGAAAAATTAGGCGACCGGATTTTTTACCGGTTTGAAAAAAAAACCAGATAAAAAATCAGTTTTTTATCCGGAAAAAAATCCGGTATGTGGTTTAAAAATCCGGTCTGGGGTTAAAAAAATTAGATGATCGCATTTTTTACCGGATTAAAAATTGGTTATTTTTAAAAAACCGGTTTTTTTCAAATCGGTTACATCATCCGGCCCTCCAAATCGGTTATGATCCGAACCGATTTTTTTATAAATCGAGTTTTTAGTTTGGTGAAAAAACCAGATCGATTTTTATCCGATCTAGATCGAATTTAAATCCGGCTATGTGCATCTCTACCTGCCAACAAAAAGGTCAATTCAAGCAACATAGTTTTACAATTAATCAAGCGAGAATAAGTATGGATGGTCATTGGTTGAGTTGGGTTTTGACCCATCCGAATTGAATTCGAAAAATTAATTTCATAGCCTTCTCTTTTCATAGCCTTCTTCTGGAGATAGTCTGGTCTTTCGTATTCATTAGACCTAACTCAACTCAAAGTTTAGGAAGGTTTCATCTGACTTAAAGCTTGATTTGATTTTTAGATCAAAACGTGTATTTGACCTGACCTAATATATATGGGATAGGATTATGTTTTATAATGTAAAATTAAATAATTTTACATAAATTTAGGATCATTAGATGAGTACAAATTGATGGTTGGAAAATATTAACTAGAAAAGAAAACAAAAAGTTAATCTCAATCATCTATTTTGACTCATCCAATAGTCATCTCTAAGAACAATCTAATTAGATCAAATTGAAACCTATTGGGTTCGGATAAAACAGCCATCCCTAAGAACAAGGAAATCAACACAGAATATCAAATACTGGTCTATACCCAGATTAAGGCTTGCAGGGCTGAATCTGACTTCACTTGGGAACCCAACAAGGGCATAAACACCAGTAGGCTTCAGAAGTGACAAGCAGGGATCATATGGATGATTGCCAGATGCAGTGTCAATTATAAAGTCCAATGATATTGATAGGACCTGCACAAAAACCCATAAGATCCAGTAAGGCCAATGGTTATGAATTTATTATAAATATGGACTTCTAAGATGTTATAACTCCTTAATCTTCTACCCTCATCTAGGGATGTAAAATCAGGTAATCGGACATGTTTCAGTCGGATTTTGGTAGGTCGGGTGAAATCGGATACATGTCAACTCAGGTTGATTTGATACCAGATTCAGATCGGGTTCAGGTCATGTCAAATCAGTTCGGGTTATTTCAGGTTAATTTGACATCAGATCTAGATCGGGTTCAGGCCGGGTCATTTTCAGTTCGGATCGATGTCAGTTCAAGTAAAAACAATTCAGGTCCAAAGCATATAAAGACCAGGTTAATTCAGGTTTGGGTGGACTTCAGTCGGATCTCGTTCAAATCGGGTCACATCATTGACAGATAAAATTTAGGTCGGATGTTTATCGGATACGGATTGAGTTCAGGTCGGGTCGTTTTTATTTTTTGGATTAATTATTTTGTCATCTTTCGTGATTGTTGAATTGCAAGTTGTAATTGTATATGATTTCGAGTAATTTAAAAGAAAAATAAATATTCATAGATCAATTTTGTAAAAAATATAAATTTAATGAAAAAATTGAAGAAATGTAAAATTACAAATAAAATCTTTAAATATAAATTGAACAACAAACATATGTAAGGGATTAAATTGAAATAAATTTAAAATATGAGGTTTAAATTAATATAAAAAATGACTAAATTAAACACATTTAAAAAAGTATGGGCCAGTTACAAAAATATAAATAAATAACAACTAACAATGGAAGATGCAAATATAAATTTAAGGACTAAATTGAATACATATAAAAGTGAAAGACTTAAAATTGAAATAAATTAAAAAACACAAAAGGATTAAATCGAAATAAATGCAAAATGTGAAGAAATAATGAAAAATATAGTAAATTGCATTCATTTAAAAAACTGAAAAAATATTATATATATATATAATATATATATATATATATATATAAGTTTATATATAAACTATATTTATATTATAAACTATATAATTATTATAAGCTATATATAAATTATGTTTATGTGAACTATATATATAAACTATCTATGTATAAACTATAAAAAATATATAGTTTATAAAATATTATTTATATTAATATAGTATATATATATATATGTATGTATATAAACTATATATGTATAAACTATATAAAATATATAGTTTATATATTATAATTTATATTAATATAGTATATATATGTATGTATAACTAATAAAGTAATATATAGAATATATATATATATATTATATATATTAAAGAAATACTATGCATAAACTATATAAAGTAATAAATTATATAGTTTATAAAATCCCTAAACTCTAAAACATAAACCCTAAATCCTAAACTTTATAAACTATATATGTATAGACACATTTGATAATTCATATATAGTTTATATAAACAATAGTTTATATAAATTATATATGTAACATTAACCTATAGTCTATAAACAATAGTTAATATATGTAACTTATAGTATATGTACATAT